AAAATGATTAATATTAGCTCATATCTAAAATAAATAATATGCATCGTCTCAATACAATATATTTTCTCACCTGTAATCGTATTGTTACCATTTTTTTTCTTTGACTTTATATATGCATTGTTGCCATTTTTCTTATTTGACTTTACATACGCATTGTTACCATTTTCTTATTTGACTTTGCATATGCGTTGTTACCATTTTTCTTCTTTGCTTTTACGTATGCATTGTTATTTTTCTTATTTGACTTTACATACACATTGTTACCATTTTTTTCTTTGATTTTACATGCGCATTGTTACCATTTCATTGTTCATTGCCAACATTTTATTGTCCATTGTTAACAATTCATTGTTCATTGTTCGTTGTTACCATTTAGTAACAAACTTAACTTATTTTATATGAATTCGCATGAATGATGCATCATCGTTGTGTGTCGTAGGATTAATGTTGTGTGAATACTAAAGTCTTACTCAAACGAATTAAGTTTTTGTGTTAAACACCAGTATTCACACCTTGCCCCTTCACTTAGCAACGACTTCAATCTCACAATAACAAAACTACCACTGCATTACAAGTTAGGCTTGGTATTTACTCAAGAAGAAGTAAAGGTTCGATTTGTAAGATCGAACCCATATTTATTTAATTGTCATGTGCACTTACATCATCGATATTACTAACGCTAATATACTTTCACCCATGGGACCTCGAAAACATGTGCAACCAATTATATACCGTCATTATGACTCAATTTATCGTCATATCCAACCAATACCGACACAGAATGATAGTCGTATGCATCACGTGATACATGCCGTCAATTAACTTTAGATCAAGGTCCTTCTAAACCTAAATTAAATACGCAAATAAAACCTGCGATTATGTACAGTAGGGTTCCTTGGCTTTCTTTTAAAATAATTTTGTCTTCGGGTCTATTTTATTCAAAGGGCAAACCAAACGATAAATTTCTTCAATAAGCTTTTTTTAATATGAAAATCGCAGAAAATGATGTGCGCTTTGCTCAAGATCAAACTAATATAAATTTGCTAAACATTTATGATAATCCATTCATAGAATGGTCCGCAAACTTTACTCAAGGTTATGAAGATCAAACTAATAATAGTTTACCTACAGAATGGTCTATGGACTTGACTCAAGATTTAACTAATACAAGTTTACCAAATATTTATAAAAATCCATCAATAGAATGGTCCGCAGGTTTTAGCCAGGATCAAACTAATAATAATCTACCTATAGAATGGTCCGCAGGTTTTAGCCAGGATCAAACTAATAATAATCTACCTATAGAATGGTCCACAGAGTTTACGAATAACATTCCGTTTATGGAATGGAATGCTGTTTTTACACAATATCAAGCTAACGCAAGTTCACTAAACATTTACAATAATTCGATTATAGAATCGTCCACGGGCATAAGTCAAAAAGATCAAACTAATACAACTTTGCCAAACATTTATGGTTCAGGAATTACTCAACCTTGTGATGAACAAATTAACACATTACAGCAACAATTTAATGTAAAATCAGTCAAAGAAAATGAACATCCAGTTTCACTTGTTTCTAGATATAAAAGAAATCCAAAATGCAAGAAATGTAATATTAGAAAAATTCATTATGATGAAAATTCCAATCAATGTAAAGATTGTTATCGGGCCTCATTACGAGCCTTAAGTAGCAATAAATTAATAGACAATTTTATTGAATCAACACAAACTTTTATTCAAAATTGTAAACATTCTTTAAAATTAGAATATATTCCATATAAACAATTTACTAATATTGAATACCTTGCTAAAGGAGGATTTAGTGTAATACATAAAGCAAAATGGATTGATGGACCCATTACTCGTTGGAATCCTAAGAAGCAAAGATACAATCGAAAAGGAAATTATGATGTTGTTCTTAAAATTCTTAATAATTCTGTAAAAATGGATTCTGATTATTTAAATGAGGTATATGCATATGTAATTTATATTTGTGTGATTATATTTACGTTAAACTTAAAACCTTATTTTATTTTGTTTGTCATTTTAGTTGAAAATTTTTCTTCGCTGTAAAAAAAATGAAGGTTCTTTTAATGATCATAAAACTATTCAACGGTATCTTGGCATTACGCAACATCCTCAAACAAAAAATTATATAATAGTTGTAGAATTTGCGCAGAATAGAGACTTACATTATTATTTAAATAAAAATATGAATGCCTTGTCTTGGTTAGAAAAATTAAAACTATTACAAAGAATTTCAAATGGACTTAAATTAGTACACAGAAGTCGAATCATTCATCGTGATATTCATAGTGGCAATATTCTTATTAACCAGAATAGTGAACCAACGATTGCAGATTTAGGAATAAGCAAACCTATAAATGAATCGTTAGATAATAGTTCAATTTATGGAATTATTCCATATGTTGCACCAGAGGTGCTAAAAGGAGGAAAGTTTACACAAGATTCGGATATCTATAGTTTTGGTATGATTATCTGGGAGGTAATAAGTGGCTGCAGGCCATTTTCTGATCGTAAACATGATGAATACCTTATTCTGGATATTCTTAATGGTCTTCGTCCAAAGATTCCCGCCAACGTTCCACAAGATTTAGTTATTTTAATGAAATCATGCTGGCATTCAGATCCAAGACAAAGACTGCGTGATGGTTATTGTGATGGTTATTGGAACCTTAACAGACTTATTGAAAGAGCAGAAAGAGGAGAAATAAAGTTTCCGGAAAATAAAGATACAAGTTATGTACCAACCAAAATAAATGATCAAGCAATATATTCTAGTCGATCATTAAATCTATTAATTAGTAAAGCATTAACTTTACAAAGTATGAAATTAAGTAACAATACAATTACAGGTGAGAAAATATATTGTATTGAGACGATGCATATTATTTATTTTAGATATGAGCTAATATTAATCATTTT